AAGTACAATAAAAGTTTTCGATCGGATTTAAAATACTGTCTTTGATTATGATGCATGATATGAGTAGCGTACGTATTGAGTACGGATAACTTGGCATATTAATATATGAACGAAATGAAACAACTTTAATATCAAATAAATTATATTTCAATTGTACATCTCTGCTTGAATTGAAATAGGAAGAAAATAGCAGCCCTTGCTTAGTTTCTTGCCGGTTCTTCTACTGACAAAGTAACCTGTCGTAGATTTGTGATCTAATGGCATAGCTTTCAACTTTCACAAGAGGTTGTAACAGACTAAAGTAGGTAAATAAATAATATCGATATTTGTAATCATTTGAGTTGGTTTTCTGTAAAATAAAGTGGGTGCATATATCCGGTGGCAGACTCTCAAGGCTACAGTAGGCCTAGGCCAATCAAGATAATATTAATTTGTCTTGTTACAAACACCACATTTTATTTAATATATTTCAATAAACATTGACAAGAAAGCAAATTCATATGCAGTGTCTAAATTATGATAAAAGTGGGTCGGTTAGTACTGCATGGCGTAGGGCGGCCAAGCCTGCAAGTCCGCCTCTAGGTATTCCGTTATATTTAAAGTTAAGAACCCCTATTTTACATGTAAAATTTAGTAATTGGGAGTATTTGATAGACCATTAGTTTGCTGAAGCAGTTAAGCTAATGTAACTAGAGATAAAAAAAAGGAAATTAATGAAATACATTTTCTAAATTGGTCTCTTATGCCCATTTCCACTAAACTTGGGAGTCGTTCAAATCTGTTGCTTAAATATCTAGGAATCGCCTAAGGTATTTCACTATTGACTAGAAATCACCTAACGAAATTAAGCAATGTCTAAAGTTATTATGCGGCGCCTTTTGTTAGACATTTGCGTATATGACATATCATAAATATGACAAAGGATAAAAGAAAAACATATTTATTTATTCGAAATAAAACTAATCTGCTTATCCGGTTCGTAATATTAGGTCCGTTTCCTAGTTAAGCTATGCCTTGTACTAGGTTAGTGAAAATGGATATTAGTGTTTTCTTTATTACTAAATTTGAAGTTGACCATTTTTGGGCAGCATTAAAACTGGCTACCGTAAAATCAGCTATTTTGGTTAAACGCAGCATCGAACGCACCGTCGAAACCAGCACTGTCACATCATTAGAGGTTCAATGAAATAAAACCGAATTGAAAATGTGATAAAAGTATTATTTTTTGTTGCAGGCTGTGTTTCCAACAAAATACCAAAGCAGGTCTAATTTAATTAGATTAGGTACATTTGTTCAACTTGTAAAAGACGCGCATTCGAGCAAGTTTTATGACATTGTCATCATTGGTTTCATTAAGGTTTTGTATATTGTAATACAAAACCCGATTATAGAATAAAATCATTATGAGCTATATTATTTTGATAAAAGATCACCGGCAAACCACATAATAGATGATATTATAGATAATATCAAAATAAGGTAATTTTTCTCGTGCATTGAACAAAATTGTTCACATTTAGGTGTAGGTACATCTAAAATATAAAAGTTTAATAATGACAAAGAGGTCAAAGTCTTGACTGAGATTTTTTGTAAAAAGATTGTTTTTGTAAAAGTGATAATATTGATACCTGCTTATGACCCCGGTATACATAATGCAGTGGTAAGATATTTGCCATCAGGATTTATTTTTAAATATAAACAAATAAATGATAAGTTAGGGTAAAATATTTTTTTGGAGCCACGTTATGACGTATGTATAGTACGGGCCATTTTTTAATTGTTTTATTGTAATGTACGCAGTTTCACTCAGAGTAATAAGACGAAGCTAATAATAGAAATCCACATACTTACCTACATGCACTCTAAAAACAGAACCCTCCTGTTGCAGTCGGTTAAATATGATTTGCACAAAATAGGTGCTAACACTCGTTTATGTATATTTGAGATTTAAAGTCGTTAATTTATAATTTTTAGTTTCACAATTTTGAAATTTATACCCATTTATATTATGATTTTGAAGATTTTAACCCACTTACCTACACTTGCACTTGCAGAAGTTCCAAAACTAATGAAGAATTTTTTTTTTTATAAATCTGTCACATCACATTATATAAATCACATGAAAATGTAACATATGTAATCCATAACCTTAATGCAAGTTTCCAAAAAAATCTATAACAAACTAAGAGTTTCATTGATAGACATTCTGTGGCATAAACTAGACTTAATTTAGTTTTAACTCTGTCACATACGTTTTCCATTCTTTAAAAAACTAAGATAACAAAAGTATCCACACTTATTACGATATATTACAGTGCACCTATACAGTAAACAGGAGTAAAATTTTATTTCTTTGGCTACAGAATAACGATAAAACAAACTCAAATTAAAATTATTTTTAATTTTTATTTAGTATTGAAACAACAGAATTTTGACCAATAATTATAAATATAATCAAACATCTTCTAATAAACGATAAACTTTATAATAACTCGTTATTTCTCGTGAACTCATAATGTCCATATCAGAACTGTCATAATCTACTGTATGCACATTTTGTAAACATTTTTCAATTTATAATTAATTTTAATATATAAAGTATAACGGTGATATGCACAGAACACCTACTTACCTTAATTTTTATTGCCACTTTTACTACAAAACCAGTTTGCAAAAACCAATCCGAAACTGGGTTGCTTCCATCCTGTTTTGTCGATCTATAGTATTATTATGAAGATGAACGTTTTGAACGTTTGTTTACATTGAATAGCCTCCGAATCTACTGATCATCGAATAAAACACATTATTATATCAAAAACTATAATACCAATTTAATCTCAATTCATTTCGTTATTTTACAAATGTTCAATATCTCCGAGCCCATTTTACAATATTTCAGTGATTCAAATAAAAACGAATATTGTATGTATTATTACGAGATCACATTTCAATTTCTGTGAGCCCATCTTCTGGCAACCATCGGCACGTTTTCTAATACAGGATTGATTGTAAAAATTATTTCACCTACGAGCAAAATATTATTCGTAAATTAAAAATGTATAAAAAATAAAAATACAAAAATATCATTTCAGAGTTTTTAAAAATAGAAGCGACTACAAACTTCATGAAGTAAAAAACAATAGTTCCTGCTATTGAAGTCATGCGGTGGTTTTCTATAGGTTATTAATTAAATGATAACCGCCCGTCCACCCGACTTCAATAGCAGTCTCATAATTAAGTAATTTTAAAGATAAACTTTTTCGTTTTTTAAATAGTTTAATTATTTATAGTGACGTTTTCTGTAAATGTAACACTAAAAATATCATTTTTCTATATAAAATATGTAAATATAGTGAAAGTATGGGAAAAGGAGAGTTTGTTTATTTGCTCAACATATCATACTAATATTATAAACTAGCTTTTGCTCGCGACTTCGTCCGCGTGGTAATGTTACTTTGAGCAGCATTTCTAACGAATATTTATTCATAATATCGAGTAAAATACATAAAATAAACTGTCATCCCCTATTTAATCCCCTTTGGGGTAGAATTGATCAAAATCCTTCCTTAGAGAATGCTTCAGTCATAGTAGCTTTATGCATGCAAAGTCTCAGCCCTATCGGTTTAAAATTGAAAAAGTTTCATACAAACTTTCATCCCCTATATTATCCCCTTAGGGGTAGAATTAATCAAAATCCATTCTTAGCGGATGCCTACGTCATAACATCTACCCGCATGCTAAATTTCAGCCCGATCCGTCCAGTGATTTGGGCTGTGCGTTGATAGATCACTATGTCAGTCAGTCACCTTTGAGCTATATAGATAGAAAAGACTTTATTGTTTCTTTGCATTGAATAGGCTGCGAAACTACTGGATTTCAAAAATTCTTTAACCTTCAGGAAGCTAGGATATCAGGATAATAGCTTGTTTGATAAAAATTGGTTCAAAATTCAAGAACAAATCTGTGAACGTACAAAAAAATACATCTTAATACATATTCCTTTTCGATTTTGTAATCTGTTAAAAAGTAAGAAATACATATACAGCTGTTAAATTATTTAAAGAACTAATTTTGAAGTCGGGTGGAGGTTTGTTGTAAGAAATGACTAATTACCCATCTTTAATACCAGTTTCTTAAATAATTAAACCGCTTTTAAGATAACTATTTATTTCTCACTTTTTTGAAGTTTTTGAGGTGGTTTTATTTATTAAAAAGGTAATTACCAGTATTATTTTATTATTTTTAATTATATTTATTTTTCTAGTGGAAAGCTGCTGTGCTACGCATCTCCAAACAACATGACTGATCACGACTGTTCTGTAAAGAGCATACGAGGAAGAAGATGGATTGAACCTAACTTATGTTAGTAGAACTTGTTATTAATCAAAATTACTTGTGTTAAACGTTATAAATATTTCAGTAACTTATTCAAATACATACTTTTCCGTTTGGGATTGAAACTATCGATCCATAGGGCATCAAGGCCCACCGCTTATAATACCTAAACTTAAAAAAAAAACTTTCTATTTATATATGTAATTTTTTTACTCAGCAGTTACATGTCTATTTTTTTTTTTATTTATGGAAGGCAAATGAAGCCCTTATTCTATTTCTTTATTTGTATATGTAATTTTTTACTTAGTAGTTACATGTCTAATTTTTTAGGTTTTATGGAAGATTTACGAGTATTATTTGAATACTTACGAATTCGATTATACGAGTATTAAGTTTGTTTCACAGCAGCTCACAGCGTTACTACTAACTACAAGATTAGCTGGCAAAATACTCATACTAACAAGAATTAAATATAAAATATTCAAATTATAAAACGTATATGAAATTATAGAGAGAAACGTACTTATTTTCATTTATCAAAATGATTTCCTCTACCTTTTCTAAATATAAAATAATAAAAATCTGTAAAATAAAACTACTCATAGCAAATATTTCATCAGACACTCTTAAATCCCTACCATAAAATTATAGCAACTAATCATCCAATAAAACACATTATTATATCAAAAAAACTATAATACCAATTTAATCTCAATTCATTTCGTTATTTTACAAATGTTCAATATCTTCGAGTCCATTTTACAATATTTCAGTGATTCAAATAAAAACGAATATTGTATGTATTATTACGAGATCACATTTCAATTTCTGTGAGCCCATCTTCTGGCAACCATCGGCACGTTTTCTAGTACTGGTGCTGTTATAGGTATTGGTTGCTGCGGAGCTGCTGGTGGTTGGGGAGCTTTAGAAACTGCAGCAGTGGGTGGTCCAGCTGGAATGAGTTGAGCAGGTGATGACGGTGAGACAGGTGCTGAACAAAAACGCATTTATTAAAAAACTGACTGTCGAACAGGAGTCTATTATTTTTGTTTTATTTAAATGTTCACAAAATGCAAATCGCTATCTACATCTTTGTATCAGCTCCCTTACGGCAGAGGGACCAAAGTTACATAGCACGGTCATGACATATTTCACTTCATTAGAAACTTATGAAAACCAGAACAAAAACTATTACAGTTTATAAAACAGCATTCTTCTCTCCTAACCGAAGAGTTTCTATTACCTTTTGCTGGAGCAGATTCAACGAAAGGTGTGGGGTCCTCGATCCTTCCTTCGAATAGCACAAGGCCCAAAGCATTATCCCTTATGAAGAAGACGAAAGGTCGGTCTACTTGAAGTTGCACCCCGTCTTCTATGAGCGGCACCACCATAGCGGCGGTGGCTGCGGCCGCTATTGTTCCCTGCTCGTCTACCGTCATGTGAACTTTATGGTACATGCTGTTTATGTAAGGAGAGTCATTCTCGAAGATGCCAGATAGGTTTGAGGATGACGAGAAGAGAGTAGTGACACGCATCTGAAAAATATTAACTTTATTTACATCAATATCTGCATTAATAAAACTTGGCTATTTTTTAAATAGACGAAGAATTTATTATGGAAAGAAAAAATGCTCAAAATAAATTAAGTTAATTTAAATTCCTAATATTATGAATAATCACGACCAAACTATCAAATCTTCCTAAGTAAATTAAGTCTACATTGAATTCTCAGGTCACTTATTATGATGGAGATCTTTAAACTTTTGAATTTAAATTGCTTTTTGCATGTTGTGTGTTATCAAAACAAATTATGATTCTATTTTCATATATGTTATCTAACATCGATGGCTTCACATTTTTATAAAAAAAGAACCATTACATTTTTATCAAAACAATTCAGTTAATGAGACAGATCACAGAATGTATATTTTTATATGAAAAACAAAAGAAGGACGGACATTTGCATTTAATTATAATACCGGAATTTTAATAAAAGCGAAGAAACTGGTTTTTTGATATTTATCTTTGTAATACAACAGTCGTTTATGTTCTCTGATATTATAATGATACAAACAGTTAAAATTGCCCTATATGTAGACAGTTTTCAAATATTACCCTCCCTAAATATTTTACAACTTATTTATTTTCTGATGTTAGGCTTTTTAAGATACTGCACATTAAAAAGAAAAAACCTGGCCATGCGAGTCGGACTCACACACGAAGGATTCCCTACATATATGTTGTATCACATATATATAACAACCTTTAAAAATCTTATTTTATTCTGTATTTATTGTTATAAAGGCACAGAAATAGTCTTAGTTTACCCTTTGGGTATGGAACCCTCATAGGATCTTTTGGTTGTCTGTGTGTGCCTCTGTCACCATAGTTGATTTTCCACTCCGAAACTACTGAACCGATTGAGTTGAAATTTATATATGTAAATGGTTAATCAAAACCGCTCATGCAACGTGAATGTATGAACTTTAAACATATTAGGTAAAAAGTGAAGACAATAGTTTTGCGGATTTGCCATAAAGGAAATTTTTTATACTGTACTTATGTGACTGGGTTTTTCCTTGCATTACTTGCCTTGAAATGTCATTTTTTTATATTCTAATTTAACGTAACAATTTTAAATACATAGCAAATACTATTCAATAATTACTTACACTCTTTAGAGGTCCAACCATATCCTCAGAGTAGTCTATGCTAAACTTAGGCAGAGACAATTGCACGTCGTACGGCTCAAGATGGCTGACAATTTGGTTCAAATTCTTATAAGGCAAATCTCTGATGAGAGGTGCACAGCCATCACGATCTACTGGGACCAACAGGATCATAGAATATCGGCTACCCTGTATAACAGAAAATATTACTCGTATTTTAAATACATTATGACACACAACATCCCTCCTATAAAACTTCATATCAGTCCTATAACACTCGCGGCATCTCTACAATAACACTCGATACTCATTAACACCTAAAAATCCTGTAACATAAATTGTTTTTATAATGTTATTGTGTTGATCTTGTAATAAATCACACTACTCATTTATAAAACAACTTCTGAAGGTATAAAACCTCCTACGGAGTCTCCGAAGAATTCGAATCGCCTAAAAAATGTAAAAAGTTTATAAAAAATCTCTAAACTTTGAAAGTTGAGTTTGAGTGTAGGTAATGGAGCACTGAGGAGATGGCTTAGAAAATTCTGATCACAGTTTTAACCTCACTTAACCAAACAAAATTGAAACATAAATCGAAATAAATCACACGATCCCAAACTAAACGGATTAGGAGTCAACTTGCCGGTTTTCGATTAAGTTGTTTTATGTTATATAACTTGGATAACAATGCAATAATCAAATGGAATGTAGCTGATATGATGGTGATATTAGAAGATAGCCATGGGACCTGTGTGTTTAAACGAAACAACCTAACCGAAGGAATTCGGTCTGAGATAATATCCAGGGAGTAATGATGGGACTCGAATGTAGTCATGGGCTCGTCTGATTGGTGTATACAAGTCAAATAAAAATATGTGATTCACGAACAAAAGCTTGTTTAAATGTTATTATTATTTTACTACTACACTAACATTTTAAATAGTATTGGACGTGAAAAGTAACGGTTTACTTATTTTTACCTGTGAAGATATGATGTTGGTATTCTATATCTTATTTATGAATAAAACGTCTAAATAAAAATAACACGTTTTACACCTAAAATACAGTGGCATTAATGTACTTTACAATATATTTGGATTATTTAACTTTTCGAAGAAGATGTATTTTACTTTTTACCCACTCTCTAATTAAGACAAATAGAGGTATTTCAAAAACTATCCAGAGTATTTTAAATTTAAAACATATAATTCATAACATAAAATATAATCTTTTCATTAAATATCATTATCTATCGACTTTTATAATATAACACTGACATTCACCTTACGGACATATTTATACTGAGTTTATTCATGCCAAGTTACTGATAGAAGCTAGAGAATATATATACATATAGAATCACATAAAATCACTACAAAATGTCTGCAGCCGATTTAGAACTTAAATTACTAAAGATTTAAGTATATAATTAACCATTGACTGTACAAATATCCGATTCAATCAATTAAACTCAGTAAAATGGACATTAATTTGTTAAGTAACCTACTTAATTATTAATACGTTAAGATAATTCTCGTGTTAAAAGTTGTTTATTGATAATGTTGTATTTAAAATATACTTGTTATAGAGGAAAACCTTGTTATTCTGCGTCAAATTAAGTTTAAAACACATTTTTACCTTATTGGTGATAGAATGGAATGTCTTTTCAAAACTATGACTTTTAAAATAAACAAAATGAAAGGAGTATCTCTCATAAAATAGTGTAGTAGACTAGTCTTTTTTTCTCACACAATATCCAAAATTCAAACGGAGGATTAAAAACCGCTTGAATATTGGCTATTTATCAATTAGCTAATGACTCGTTAAAACCTTATAAAACATAAATTATTGCTAGATAAAATCTTACGATATCATAGCCTTAGTGATTGTTATGTTGTATTACGTTTCTATTCTATTGTATCTTTTCTTATTCATTGGGTGGTACACGACAGGGGTTGTGTGGACTCTAATCGTTTCAGCCGAGGCCTATCTACAAAAACCCCTACAATGTTATTAATAAACAAGGTTTGGGGTTGGAATAAATTTACTCAAAGACTGCACTTCATCACCAGCCCTTTTACGTCCCCACTGCAGGGGCTCAGGCCTTCCTTATGGATGGTTAAGGAGGATGGGCCATGACCCTCCACGCTGGCCCAATGCGGATTGGAGGGTATTAACGACTGCAAAAATGCAGCCGGGACCAACGGCTTAACGTGCCTTCCGAAGCACTTAGTATTACTAAAAATCATATTATTAAACAGAGATTTAGCAAATGTTGACCTAGTACGAGGTGCCACGGTAGTAATATTCACTTCTAGAAGGTGGTAGGTTTGCTTATTCTCTGTTTATTAAGAATTTGTACTAATACTTAAATTGCAATTTTATCGTAAGTTTACTTAGATGCTAAACCTTGTTTATTAATAGCACTGCTACATTATAGACTCGCATAAGGGATGAGACCCGAGTAACCTTAATTGAGTCTTATCATAAATTTCTGGAATGCATTTTTTTTCGGTATTTTTTCCTGTCCAGTCCAGAAAAAAATATTAGATAACATAATTTAAAATACGTAGTGCAATAGTGTTGTCAATTATGTTAAAACGTAAATACTACTCTCTAAACTGGAAATAAAATCAATTTTCAATTTTATTTGTTTTAACGTTACTCAGTAATAACACATATGTATTAGAACAAATATAATCCTAATATATAATAAGTTAACTCCTGTTGTCTCATTTACACATTGAAAATGCAGTTTAACAAGACTGAACCTAAATTTATATATTTTGCGTAATTAGTCTTGTTTGTTCATCAACATTTATTTAAAATAAATTAAAGTGTTCGTCTTGAGTTTTTAAGTTTAATTTAGTGAAGATTTTGTTTAGTTTGTGTGAAATGTGATGTGTATTGCGTGTGCATGCACCGACATGCAAAAAAGAGTGCTTAGCTCAGTCTTCAGAGAGAAAGTGGACATTTTGAGCATCCACTATCATTAAGATATCGGTTAATAATTAAATTAAATTAATGTATTTCGTGATCCTTTGTAATCTGCAAACAATCGATATAACGCATGCGCGTTATAGGGCTGTCAACACTTAGAAATTTAAAATTTTAACTAAATTTTTACCTTTACCTTCTCTATTTTGCAATATTTGTCAAATAAAATGAATGTTTGCATGTAACCTAACTTGAAACTTTCGTCTGTGTCGGTCATTTTGGGACACGTAGTATAGTATAAGATTCATATATAAATAAAATCTTATTTAGAAGTCTGTAAAAAAATAAGAAGAGAGAATCTTTATTGACCTCGTAAGGTAAATCGACGGCATGCGCCCTCAGTTCGTCGATGTAAGCATATTTCAATTGTGCCCTTGTCGACATCATTTGGACTTTCTTGCATGTACCCTGGTCGTAGAAACATGCGCCGGTCGTCTCCTTCGGGTCGAATGATCTCTGCCAGCTGCCCTTGAAATACATTGCGTTGGCCAGTACCATGTCCGACGATGGGTTCACGTTCACTGAAAGAAAAGGAGCATTCTAATTATTATATAGCAACCTTCATACACGAGTTCATATCAACTTATCCGATTATGAAAAATTACTCTTATGTGCGCTTGTTTGTAGCTAGGTCCAAGGGATCTTTAGGCTCCAGGTTCATTGAGGTAAGCGAAAATAGTAACTTTATTTTATAAAAACATTTTGTCTTAATTTTCGATGTTATTTAAAGGGAAAAAAATATATGTCTACATAAAATCACTTAGAAAAGGGGATTTTGTTTATTTGCTCAACATGTTTTTTTTTTCAATATAATTTCTATATGTACTCTTATTATAAAAAGGAAAGATTTGAATACTTGTGTGTTTGCATTGGCTAAGCTCCGAAACTATTGGACCGTTTATAAAATTCATTCATCTACGGGAAGCTAAATAATACACAATTCAAGAGAAATCGATGAGCTACTAAAAAAGATACACACCATAACATACATATCATAACATAGAAAATTCTTTCGGATTTTCAATGAATGCAAAATACGCATTCTTTTGTTTTTTCGCTGATACAAACATGTCATCTAAACATTCAGATGATATTTGATGAAAAGCATATTTTGTTTTGTTACGAAAAGAAAATTCCTGATTTGATTTCGATAAAATTTAAATGGGATCATTTCGGTCCATTAAACTGTCTAATAAAGAAAAAAAAATGAAAATCGGTCAATATAGATACATAAAAAACATACATCGCCGTCAAACACATAACGTGCTCCTTTTCGATTTTAAATCGGTTAAAAAACAACATGCCTCTTTTTTACAGTACATAATATTTTGTGTACTAATTGAAAACTTTTCCAAAATTTTGTCAGCACTACGGTTTTACTACGTAACTTCAGCCCTGATTAACTGTCAAGATTGAAAAATTATAGTTCTTCTAAATGTACGATACATACAAACAACACATTGAACGTAAACAGAACAAACACACAAATAACATTACTGTTGTGTTGGTTGGCAACATACTAAAAAGTATAAATGTAGTAATGTGTAAAGTAAAACATATTACGAATTGTACTAATAGAACAGAAAACTTTGCTATTGTGCAAACAACAGTGTCGAACTCAGCACTGTGACAGTGGGTTCGATAAAATTATTCACAACAATATTTAACAAACCTGGGTCTACAATAGCCGGAATGAGCCCTTTAGTTTTCGTCGACACCCATCTGTTGATGATATCGACTGATCCGTCGATGTCTGTGAAGTTCATCTTGAACACTTCGGCTTGGTAAATGGATTTCAGCATCGCCTCATATTCCTTCCTCATCTTCAAATTGTCTGACACGAAAACTGAATTGGCGTTTTGCAAAATAACACCACTGGTATTGGTCTGAAATTTTTGTATACTTTCAAAACCACATATGAGCAAAATTTAAATATTTATATATCCATTGTTGGGATAAAAGTCACTTCTATAAATGTGTACAGATTCGTACGGTATGCGAATACGAGACCCACAATTATTCGTGTACGGACATACTAACCACTGCGCCATTAAGTTTTTGATGATTACAAAACTTCTGTACTGTAAGTTATTTTGTACAGTTTGGAGTCAGTCAGTAGTATCATGCAACAAAACCAAACCTTAGGTACTATAATGCCATACTGTTTTCTGTTCTCTAACTACCTATCGATTCCCTAATATGAATTAATCTTAAAGAAAGGGGTGAAATAATAAGATGTGTGTGTGTGTCTGTGTGTGTGTGTGCGCGTGTGTGTGTGTGTGTGTGTGTGTGTGTGTGTGTGTGTGTGTGTGTGTGTGTGTGTGTGTGTGTGTGTGTACATGTGTATGTGTGTACCACGTGGGTAAGTATGTTTAATTTGTGTATTACGTATTTGCTTTTACCTTTAACCCTTCCAAATACAAATTCAGCTGTTCCCTATATTCTTCCTTCGAGGGTGCCAATCTGAGCGCGCTCCTGATCTCCACCTCGGTCGCGCCCTGGCAACCTTCCAGCAACATCGCCAGTGTTGCTTTGACGCTGGCCGGCGACACCATCACGTTGCCGCGACGTTCCTCAGCGCAGTACCGTAATATGTCGATGTCAAAGAAACTGAGACGAGATACCGGCTGCTGTCCATTTGTGATTACACTTTGGAACGTTAACACAAAGAGTGCTGAAACAATTTTTTTAAGCATTTTAGTAATTAATACAACACATACATTATGTATATTAGACGACCTTCATCTAGCTATTGGAGAATGAATTAAAAAAAAACGGGTCAGTAGATTTTGAGTCTACCCATAGCAAAAAAATAACAATTTCAACAAACAAACACAAATTATAAAATGATTTTCCGCGCGAGAAAAGGCAGGGTATCAATTTTCGAATGAATTAGTATATGTAGGAGAACTAATTTAAATTGCTTTCTAGGATTGGATAATGACTGAATTCGTAATTTCTTCAGTCTGTCTTCATAGGAGGGCAGAGTACGATGAAGTTTAGTTCTGAACAAAAGCACTTCAGTATTATTAGCTCTTAACATGAACCTGATAATATGGTGTCCATATTGCTGTCTTACAAACTCCGCACCAGGACAAAGTTAAGAGTCAAGTATGGTTATATGTTCGTAAGGACTTCAGATATTATTAAAATAATAAAACATACGCAATGTGATGTGAACCTGTCCGCTATGTGATTATACTGATGACGGAAAGACAAGTGGCTATCAAATATGACTCCAAGAGGTCTCGGATTTACTAGTTAATAGGGATGATGACTGGGTAAAAAAATGCAATTCTATTTAGTCCGTCAGTCAGATAATAGAAAAATATTAGATACGTATTTTTCTTTACTTTTAACAAGAAATAGCTTAGATAACAGGCATTAAAGTTGAAGGAGTGGGAGCTCGCTACGTCACAGTTGAGTAGAAAACGTACTCTAACGTGACTTCATGCGAAATTTCAACTCAATGTAACGCCGTAATTTTATGATTACCAAAAAAAAATAAAAAAATACGTGTTTAATATTTTTTTACACTCTACCTGATGGACAAAAAAACTAAAATTAGTCATCATCCCTATTGTTGATAATTTAAGGAATAGTTGAAGTAAGAGGCATTAAGTATTTTCACAAATGCAATAATATAACATTTATCTACGTTTAAAGCAGATGTAAAATCACCTTTTAAAGCCATCAACTAACTTCGTCTATCCACGAACATTTCACCCACCGTAACAAATCTTCATGAACACCATACGCCTCCACTTTTTGACAAAGTATCAAATAATTTATCAATCGAATGCTTTGGAGAAATCAGTGTAAATAGAGTCTACCTGTCTCCTCTTAACGAATGCATGACATATGTAACTTTTGTATTCAAGGAGATTGCTGGAGGTAGATCTATTTTCAACAAATCCATTTTAATCAACAGAAAGTAAAGGCCTAAAATTATGATAAAGGGTCCATCATACGCAAAGGTTTCAAAGAGTTTGACGCAACATGATAACATACTAATAGGACGATAAATTTCATCACTTTTAAATGAGGACAATATGCGCAGTTTTCCAAAGTGTTGGAAATACTCCTTTAGTTAATAATTTTACGTACAAAATACATAATGGGACACATAAAGTTTCAGCACATCTCCTCAATAATAACGTAAGTATTTCATCCGGACCAGCTCCCTTAAAGTCATCCAAATACTTCAGTTTCATCATGACTCTGATACACTAATGGAACAAATAGAATGATTTGATTCTAGTTAATATCAGACAGGTTATTTCCTGAATCATTAGGGATGTCACTGTAAACCGAAATGAAATATTCAGCAAAAAACTCAGAGATTTTCTTTCTGTTAGGTCTTTCACGATCCCTAAATTTCATAGTACTGGGTATGTAGACGATGACTTTTTGTTGTGGATATAACTCCAAAATGATTTTATATTTTGTTTTAGGGTATTCTTTACGGATTTTGTACGGGAGGGACAGTCTGATGACGGGAGGGACAATCTCTAATAAAAAATTAATGTTTTATCCTCCTTTCACTGAATTAAAATAAATCTTGAATTTAACACATTTTAAGGCATACCACGTGTCTAGCTGCTTGTGTAATATTTAAGGTCACGCGCACACTTTCGCAGTCTTATGACATTTTTTGAGAAGAAATACAATCAATAATCAATGCGTCTAATATTTAACACATGCACATACACAAACAAACACACACACATGATATTACATTACTTGATGATGATTTAAATTAAATTTGAATTTTATGGACCCCTTCAGGCTAAAGAAGTGTCCATCTACTATATACTTACCTTATTAATATCTAACCATAACACATAAATAATAAAATCAAAATTTTATGAAATTAAATCTCGGTAATTGTAGTCGAATGATTTCAATAATAAACTATTTTTGTTTTTTTTTTTCATTTGCAAAGTCACTCAGACGGAAAAAGAGTGGGATAATTTAAACATACTGAATATCTTTAACTATGGAAGCAAAACTGAATTCACGAAAAATAATTAGCTGATTCATACAAAATTGTAATACCTATATTAGGTTGGGGAAAACGCATCGCTTCGCATACGAAGAGACCTTTTCCCCAACCTAATACTATATGTAGTATGCATGAACTTGTAATAAAATCTTTTTGGCTATACTCTTTGTGCCTGGCTACTGTCGGTATCACAAAAAAGTTTAAATTTTAAAGAAGAAAGCTCCATATCAGTAGTACGACATACCGTAGACCACAAAACAGTTTTGGCGCATTTAAAAAAGCTAGGTACACAAAAAAGTTGGATATTTGGGTACCTCACGAGCTAACTGAAAGAAACCTAATGAACCGTGTACTCATTAGTAATATTTTACTACGGCCTTAATGAAACCGAACCATTTTTGAAGTAACGGATAACTTGTGATAACGGATACGACAAGAACGTGGGAAAAAGGTGGTTAAAGGTCGATCAGGCTTCACAGACTGTGGCGAAACCCGGGTTAACTTGCATCAAGGTAATACTGTGCGTATGGTGGGATTGGAAGGGCATTATACATTATGAGCTGTTACCGCACCTCACACATCTATTGCCACTCTGCAATAATTAAGAGAGTTTGGCTGGGAAGTGTTAATGCATCCGCAGTATAACCATGACCTTGCGCCTTCAGATATCCACCTATTTGGATTTCTTCAGAATTCTTTATGTGGTGTCGGGTTAACATCATGCGAGGACTACCAAAACCGCTTGTCGCGGTTTCTTGACTATAGCCCCAAAATTTCTTTAGCAATGGGATCATGTCCCTACCTGGTACCTACATTCTTTAGTTAATGTAAATAAATAAAATAAAAAATAATATTATTATCAAAGACAGGCAGACAGTTGCAGCAACTGATATGGCCTATATCCCGATATCTTTTGTGCGAGATATTTCATTCTTCCTGTTTCATGAATTTGTCCAGTCTATTTTTAAATTGGTTTATAGTCTTCGCTGAAACTTCATCTGTCGGTAATCTGTTCCAAGCTTCTAAGATTTATAGACGACGCCCTCTTTGTCAACTTAAGATGATGTCCTCTCAAGTGAGTGGACATGTTGTTTTGAATTTTTATATAAAATGCGAATAAACTTTTCCATCCCAGAATCCTGCTCTAATTCAGTGTTGCTCCCATAGTAAAAGTTCGAAAATGGGCGAAAATGTATAGTGTAATATGAAATTTATCGAAGCGCTATGGTGCAGTGGCTAGCGCCCTCGGTCTGCGATACGGTCAGTATTCACAAGGCCAGTCATAGCAACGTTGTTGTGTATTTTGTTATGAATTAAATATCTTGTTTAATTGACATAGTTTTTTTATTCACTGAATCACATAATTTAATTTCACATTGAATCACTCTATTTGAAAAAATAACTTAGGAAAAATATATACGTATACGGCCAATGACGGCGGTGGATTTACCACAGACAATCTATTTTACATTTCCCACAGAATATATTACAAACGTTCACAAGGCCAGTCACAGAATCTCAGCTCCTCCGTGCTTCGGAAGGCATGTTAATCCAGTGGTGGTGGTGTTGGTGGTCTCGGCTGCTTCTGCAGTCATTAACACCCACTAATCCGCACAAGGCCCGCGTGAAAGGTCACGCCCCATTCTCCCTATTCGATTCGATCCATAGGGAAGATCTGAGCCCAATTTAGCACAGTTTAAGCTTGTGCTACTCAGCACAAAAGAATATTCGCACTCGCTTATATTGCTTTATAATAATGCGTTATTGTTAACTTCACAGTTGAAACTAACAATTAGGCGAATACAGTTAATGAAAATGTACATATACCCTGAAATCTGTCATATATGAATTATTTAAAAAACTTATCTTTTTGAAGTCGGTTGAAAAAAATATCTTGACAACCGTTCAATAATTTTTCTATTCTAATAGTAACGTATCATAAAGAGGAAAGATTTCATTGTTTCTTTGCATTGAATAGACTCCAACACTATTTTAAAATTCTTTTACTACGAATAGCTACATCATACATGGGTGGTATAATTTACGCGAGCGAAGTCACGAAGTAACAACTAGTTTTTAATATATTAAATGGCTTTTCATAGACAATATCACTTATTATCTAAATAGGCTTTTAAATGTTTTGTAAAAGTTCTTATTCCCTTTTCAAAACTCATTCCCAAACAAAAGATTTCTACGTGAACCGGTTACACCAAAATGCACTTTACAATGAAATTTTTCCGTAAGGTCATTTAAATGAGGAAAAAACAAATATCGTATAAACAAAACTGCAACGAAACCGTTTAAAGGCACTAATGAGGAATATCTACACGAAACTCAGAAAAACAATACCGATAACACAATACAAATCATGAATATAACTTACTCAGAATTTTCAACGAAGCCATTTTCTAACTTTTACTGTCACAAAATCAATTCTAAAACGGTAGCTACACGGCAGCACTTATTTCTATCAGTCTTTGTTATTATACGTAACAAAAAATCATATAAAGCTCTGACACGACCGGCCGACCGGTGTGGACTGAGTATTCCGCTATTAACTACGAATGAGTAATAACATGAGTCTTATAACCAACATTAATTTGAAAACCTGTCTTCAACTGCGAGATAATAATATTTACAAATGTCATAGTAACATTTTGTATATTAATGACTTTTAATTATTTTACAACACATTGATTTTATTATTTAGCTCCGTTCCTATACAAAAAGATAAATAAAATGATAAACATTTATCCGATGAGCAGGTCTAGCTGTAGGGCGGCTGTAATAGAACTATTGAAAGCATTAAACTATGAGGAAACCGAAGAAATGCTGAAAACTAATACTTAGTAACTGGCTTTGAAATAATTTTACTCTTGTCATCTGCCAATGCTGTTATTGCCGTGGAAGTGAATA